CCACTTCTTTTCTTGTCAACTCTCGGAAGCGTACTGGCCCCACATCGACATCTCCCGCCCAAAACCGTCGCCCGCGCTTTGCCTTATTTACCAAGCCTCAGCTTAAGGGTGAGCTGGGTTAAAAGTTGCAGCATAATGGGGTTTTGTTAATAGAGCAGGCCTAGCAAATCGCTTTCCTCTTGGTCAAGTGATGCTATGAATGTGACGATTATTCATGAGTGTGTGTGTGTGTGTGTGTGTAACACTAAATCTAATATAAACAATTTTACATAAAATTTAAAGACATTTGTCATACTCATTTTTATCGTTTCAGTCCTAATCACTACCCACATTCTCTCCATATATTGTCAAGGAAAAAAAATTATGTCTTCTATCCATATATTATTGGATATATAATATCCAAAATTTAGAATCCAATTCAACTTAAAATTACATATTATTTTCACCAACAAAAATTTTGTAATAGGATATAAATGACATTTTTATCGCTCGATCAATACCATCATATAAGTAAAACTTAGTTCAGGTCCTCTGGAAATACCATTTCAGCAGATTAAATTACATCTCCAATTTTAAGTCCAGAGTTGATCAACAGTAATAGACTGATCGCCGAAACGAATTACTATCCTCATGCAAGCTAGAGCAAGCCAGAAACTGACATAGGATATAATATAAAAAAATTTACAATTTACGATCATAATAAATTTCGAGCATCTGGGATACGATAATTGCTAGAAGGCCCGCAGCACCACAATCTCAACCAAAGACAATATATACCAGCAACAAAGAACCCCCGGGCTGGTGGATCACCATCTTGCTGACATGAAATTGCTCACCGCCTGGGTTAATAATTATATCTGCAACTCTCAAAATATGACTATGAGCTATCGCTTCTTCGTATCTGAACATGAGTGGCAGCTTGCAAATTTGTAGGATCCTCCACTATGGAAGCCCTGATCACATAAGCAGCACAATGAATTTCACGTATCTATTGTGTTGTCAATTCTCACTGATCACTACCAAGTATCAGCCATCCATCTCAATATCACATGGTTTGGCTCCTTGATCAACTGCTGCGCTGACAGATGCCAGCAGATCATCGATTCTTAGGGGAGAATGCCGAACACTGTACTGGAACATAACCTGCAAGTGCAAATCGAATTAACATTTTAATCAAAATCTCCACCAATAATGTCGAAAATGAAAAATGTGATTGCAAATTAATGGTGGTTCTTAATTTAGTGAGTTTATGCAAATAAGCACACCAAACATAAGGGGCCTATGAATCAGACTGTAAATCAGCTTAAGCGAATGATCCAGCACAACAGCCTTATACTTTCATGTCGCGCAACAATTCGGAGCTGGGAGACAAGTGTTGTTATTTGTTGCTAAGTTCACAACTTAAGGGTGCAGTTGCTTTACTACTTTTTGGATTTCTGGTAGAGCACAAACTTGATAAGCAGTGACAAATAACTGAAACTGAATTATGTTATGGCTGCAAAGAAAAGATTTTGAACTCCTGTCATTGATCCAAACTGAATACTTCATTAACATTCCCTTACTATTACATTTTCCTGTATCAATTTGCCCATCGATCTGGACGAAATCATCAGATTCAATAATAACAGGATGTGGAATCTACTTAAGAATGTCATCAGACGTAGCCCTTTACAAACCTTGGAGAAACTATCAGCAGAAGCTCGAGCTCGATTGGCCTTGCCAAGATAATGTAGATCAGCTTTCTCAAGCTTCCCATCAACAAAAACCAATCCTCCCTCTCCAATTGCAAATCGTACCAGACATCCTGATTTTAGTCCTGACTGAAAATTGAAGAAACTTAAATCAGAAATTAATTGGCAAAAGATAATGATGGGAAACAGTCCCTGTGATGTCTAGGACGCATACTCCTTCATTGCCCTATTTCATGGCAATCTGATGATACTTCCAGCAAGGACAACCAGAATAGTAGATTTTGTAAGGGAAACATCACTGAACAATAGAATTTCATAAAGAAGCCTCTCCCAAGCATACCTGTTCTATAAAGCTTCCATCCAAGCAGCCAAATACCGTTGGAGGATCATCTGATGTAGTCAGTCTCCCATCCTCTTGTAGCTCGAAAACCACCTAGTTTAGAAAATAAGCACGACCGATTAAGCAAATTTCAATTTGATGTTGCAGTAATTGTGTGCTTTGGCTTCCAAATTCAATTTGCCCAACGTCTAAAGAGCATAGACAGTTGCAATGAAAACGAAGCAAACAAAACCAAATAACTAACTAAAAGCATTGATATAGAATCACTTCAGAGGCACAAGCATATCCGTTCATGTGCATACACAGCTCAATCACACAAGGGCCAAGTATCCATAGACGAATATTTATTGAAATAAATAAGAAGTAACAGAAGGAAACTTTTGACAACACCTGTTGTTGGCTTGGAACATGGCCTTCATTATTTGTGTCAATAACATATTGACTACAGTTTTCATCCTTCCAAACCAAAGCTAATGGTGTAATTCCTGTCTGGTAATGCGCGTGCCTAGGAAAGAAAATAGATCAAAGGACAGTACTAAAATCGAGTCAGGAAAATGAAAATAACAAGAAATCTTAGAAACTGAGAGCTTCTTAGCAATGAATACTATCTTTATGCTAGGAGCATCATGCACCTGTCTCCAACTCCAACTAAAGAGAAATCAATAAAATCTTACACAGAGATTAACCTAAGAAGGAACAACACAAGACTAATCCACTTATCCACATATTTAGCAAATTTTGCAACTAGAAATGGGGGAAAGGCAATAGAATACTAAGGTTCCTCACACCAAAAATTTACATATTTAAAGGAACCAGTTCTTTCTATCATTAATTTTGATTTCTACTTCTACAAATTAAGTCTAAAGGATGCAAGGTAAACATTTCAACAAGACTCAGTGACTAACTATAAAGTAGTTATGCATATGTTCCAATTGCACAACCTGATGAAAGCATTTTCACCTAGGTCGTCATTGATAAAATACTTTTCTAGCACTTTGCTTTATAGGTCTACTTCCACATGAGAAAAAACTAGTGTTGAAGAGGAGTTTTACTTGTTATAAAAGAGAAGGCCGTCTTTCACATATGGTGCTGCTTCTGTATAGGCTGCATATAGACCATTGTGGTCGCAATTATATACTGGAACCAGACTGAACTTGTACTTGTGATAATGTGAAGGCGCGTTGCAAGCACCACTCTCTGCAAGCTTGGAATTCAACCAAAAAAACCTGAATTCCGCCGTGCAGTCATAAAGAGAGTAGCCCCGCCAGCAGACCATGTCAATTACATAGTAAGTTTGATCGAGCTGTGGGTCAAAGTCACAGGTCACCAACAGTATAATTATAACAGAAATTTACTGATAGATACAAAAAGGCTAACCTCATGAAAGATGCAGTCCAATATAGAATAAGATTGAGCAGAACCGGAGACATCCTTTTTCCTTGCCCCGTTTGGAAGAGCAGACGGGAAACGATGCAGTATAGATCCATTCCTTAGCCTACTGATAGTTGTTCCGTTACAGGAAACTACAAAACACCGTTTACCTGATGGCCTAGCAAATACATACCTGGAGAACAAAACTCATTTACAAAATGGGGCGTAAGTGATCAATTATAAAACACTTCTCAACGCTAGAAGTACAAAATTCGGACGGACAGACTGACTGAAATGATCGTTTTAGAGCGAAAGGGGCGGGTTATATTAAGTAACGAAACTCAGATAAGATTCATAAGAAGAGTGAAAAAATAGTGAATGAATACCAGTCTTGACTAAGTCCATCAGGAATATCGATCATCCATTCAGGGTGCATAAGCTGTTTCGCAAACCATTTCCTCGCCTCTGCGCCTTTGAGCTTGGAGGCCCGAACAACATCGAAGTCCTTGGGCGAAGGCTCCTGTTCACTCTCGGGCTCATGACCCGGATGGGATTCGGGTACAGCTTCAACCTCGAGTTCAGATTCTGAAATAGGTGCTTCAAGGGTTTGGGAAGCAAGAGAGAAAGCAGTGGAAGCCAAACAGCGAGCTTGGTGCTGAGCATCGCGGCGATTTTGTGCCTGCCGGAGAAGCGAGAGTTCCCTGCGTCTCTGTTGATCGGAGATGACCGGCCTTTTGAAGGGACGGCGGATGTCATGCGGCGCCATGTCGTCAAATGAGATACAGCGCTCCCTCTATGCGTTCCTTGGCTGCTTCTTCACACAGAAATGTGGGCGCCTAGGCAGGCTTGAATTTTGATGTCTCGGAAATAGGGATGAAGGTGAGAATGGGATGGAAATGATGATTTAAAATTAATTTTGGGATAAAGTGATATTTAGATAAAATAATAACATTAATTTTATTTTTTACAACCATCATCATCCCCGCCTCGGTCCGCCTCATTCATCATCATCGACGTCCGTGGAAGGCTGGGGAGAGAAATTGAAATTAAGGACCAATGGGGACAAATCAATGGGCACTACGCAACAAACTCAGATTCGGATCAAACTCATAAAAGCACAAATGAATAGACACTTAACCCACATTCAGAGAAATCCACAAGCCAGCATAAACCATATATGCAGGAGAAAAATACAGGAATTGGAGAACAAATCTGACAAACTGAGTTTTGGTCTTGGTCAGGATCGAATTTAAAGGATGTTTTATTTTAATTCTAATTTTTTAGTTAGAACATAAAATTACAGTCTTATTTATGCGCCGTTAGACTTTTATGCCCGACAAAAGACTATCATGAAAAAAATGTTTCTTTTTTAAATTAGAAATTACTTTCAGTAATAATTATAAGAATTAATTGTCTAATTTAAGACAATTAAAAAAAAATTAAGTTAGTTATTTATAATAAATAAGTAGTATCTTTTATTAAAATATCTTTACAAATTAAATGTATTAATTAATATTAGTAAAAAAACTATTTTAAAAAATATATATATAAATACGAAAGAAAAAAAATGAATTTAGCTATTAGAAAGTGTGTTTTCAATGCGTGCTTGTAGAGCCGCCATCCGATAGCGGGGAGCACCGTCCGAGGTCGCTGCGTAGAGAAGAAATCGAGGGGGTGAAGACGGTGAATGGAGCAAACTGTATGGGGTCACTTGCCGCTACTGGTGAGGTCTAATTCCAAAGATTCCGTCGAATACATTCTTCAAGCTCTATGGAGAACCCGGAAAACCGGCCTGGACGCCGCCGACCGCCGTGTCATCCTTAACATGCTCCAGCTCCCCAACGACTCCGACCTCGACCCTGTACCTAGCCCCCCCTCTCTCTCTCTGTCTCACCGCTTACTTCGCTAATTTACAAGCGTAGTTATGCTAATTTCTCGGGAAATTTTGAACTGGTCTGAATTGGACCTTGGGGTTGGGTTTATCTCTGATGCGTACGGTTGGTTGGGCAACTTGAACTTGTCTAACTTCACTTCACACTTTCTTATTTTGACTTTCTGAATCTGGATGTTTATTTATGTCTCTGCTTCGTTGGTACTTGGACTAGAAGGCCTGAGAATGAGCTCGGAAACGCTACTGTTTTGTATCGGCAAAATGGTTGTGTGATTTCGCTGATTTGTATTTGAGAGTGTTATGATCAATGAATACCAACTTTGTGCTCTCATTTCTAGCTTTACATTAGATAAGGTGTAAAATTGTTTAATCTTCCAGCTTTTTGTGGGAAGGGGAGGAGTTGTTCTTCAGTTAGATTTGAAGCTACAAATCCACATGGCATCTAGGAACTAAACCTTCTTAGATAACTCCTGCTACAGATTATAATTTATTCATTTCTATTCTCTACCTGCAGCTTCTGGTGTGTCTTCGAATGTTAATAAGGAGGTGTGTTTATGAGAATATCAGCAAGGATGATATCCAAAAGCTGTTTCCCGCTGAGGTGCTTCCTGAATTGCAAAGACTGTTGACACTTCTTTTGCAGAAATTCCAACGAGAGTGGCAAGAAGATGTGCTGAAAGACCAGGTCAGTTATTGGTCGGCATACTTTATCTAGGCACTGGGTTGGAGCAATTAATCTGACATTGTATTGGAATCAAATTTTATTCAGAACACTGTGCCTCGTTTAAAGGCAATGACATGGAATATGGCAAATCCAGACAAAGAATCAACAGACCCTTCAGCTGTTATTAATCTGAAGGTATGTACCTCCTTTCGATCTTTATTAGAGGAAGCATCTATAAATGCCTTATTTATTCCTCTCTAACTTATCGTTTTAATTTTGCATATGTTTAAAGTACATAGACATTACCTAATTTAAGTGAAATGTAAACTTTGATTTTATGTGGTTGTATTATTTCAGCTTCAAAATGATTCTCCATTACATTTGGGAGAACTGGATGTAAAGTTCCTGTTGGCTAAAGATAGTCTAGAGATGATGCTGAAATCCATGCACAGCATCAAAGATCAGTATCCAACATTGGTAAAAGTTATGCCTCGTTTCTTATCTAGATTTAGTTAATGTGATATAATATGCTTATATTAGTCAATTTCTTTTTTCTAATTGAGCTCAATTTTTGTCAGGATGTGGCTTCAAATGGACATTAGTACCAGTAAAGTGGGAAACCAATGTAATTGTTTCCAGTAGTTCTTTCATAGAATGGTATGCTTGAAATATGTTGCTTTTACGTTTCACTTGGCTTGCTTATCAGTGGACATAGCCGGTCTAGTTACCAGCTAGATATAACATTTAGAGTTTGAGATTTTAATATGAGTGTTGGCTATCTGCTTAAATGAAAATGCATTTTCTTCACAGGTTTGTCTCGTACCCTGTTACGCATGATGGTTATCCGGGCATGAGTAGTGTAGTTTACTTGGGATAAAATATCATTCAGCTTGAAGTTACAGTCTCAGCCAACTTAGAAAGGCTTGTCAATTTGAAGTCACAATGACTGACTTAGAAGCGGTAAAACGCTCCAGGTGCCGGTTACGGGTCAGCTCGCCACGGGCTCAAGATCATGTGGGTCGGTCCTAAAAAGACCGCTGCCTGGCGGGCTCATATTTTGCCAGCCCGCCCCGCTCTTTTTTTTTATTTTAATTTTTGTACACATATATTTTAAAAAAATTTAAACTAAATTATAAATTTTTATAGACCAAATTCTTCTTATTCTTATATTTTCATATAATTATATAATTAAATTAATCTCAAAAGTTGAAATCTAAACATATAATTCATTGTTAATAATTATTTTATTAGTATAAAAATAGTAAAATAATAAAGAAAATGAGAAATCAAATTTAGAATCAAAGTCTCTAATAAAATACATAGTTATATGTAAATTAAGTGAAAATAATAAAAAAATTTCTTATTAAAATTAAAAAAATTATTAAAAATTTTTTTTCAAAAAAAGCTAGCAAGCTAAAAGGAACTGCGTCAAATGGTTCTTATTTTTTCAACCTAACTTGTCATTTTATGACAAGTCGGCGGGTTGAGCCTGCTGGCTCTAGACTGATTGAAGTCTTTATGTATATTTCATAATGCCACCTAAAAAAATGGACAAGCCATTTACTTCTTCTTTTTTTTTGGGCCAACATGAGTCCATAATCACTGTGGAAAATAATTCAACCCAAAAAGGTTGTAATGCCTATTTGAAATTGGAATAGATGAGATGACGAGTGGGTTGGCCAGCGTCGTGTGGTTATATACGCCTAGAGTACAGCCTATCTCGAGGCCTCTTTGACTGAAGGATGAAAGGATTGGAGTGAGCTCTAACGCCTCAAAGAATAATGCTTTGAAAGAAAGGTTCAAGAGCTTCGTCCATACATTCTTTGAAGACATATACAGGAATCAGACTGTATGCTTAGAAGGTGCCAGATGCTCAGCTTCGACAGGAATTACGAATCTCTGCATCAAAGAATCTGATTCCTGCATGCCGCTCCTTTTTGGGAAGGTTTAGTGGTCAGCTTGAGGCAAGGCATGCTGGCAAGTACATCAAAGATGCCCTTGAGGATTTGGAGAACTATTTATTGAATTTATTTGAAGGAGATCCTCAAGTAGTGTTTGCACCACGTTAGGAGAAGTGGTATGGAATTTTAACTTGTGCAAGCTGCTTTTGCCGGGGAAACTTTTTCTTTTCCCCTCTTAATCTTGCATCTGGATAGAGTCTACTTGCATTAGCGTCTGGTAAACGCAACTAGAAAAAAATCCGTGTGACTTTCTAGAACATTACTGTAACGCAATGATAGCTCTCATGATTCACTGACTTTTAAGATAATCAAATCAGTGTCTGTGAAAATATTTCATACCATCGCACATTAAAACATGAAACAGGAAGCTTTCCTATTCTTATTAATTTTGTTGTTTAAATCCAACTTCAAATCCTGTCTTCTCTAGCAAACAAGGTTTGGGGAAGAGAAAGTAGCTAGAGAATGGTGAAAAATTCATTTAACATTTGTGTAATAATATAATTTGAAGTATTTGCAAGTGTCTGATATCATCATGCCATTGCCATAGCCGCCTATCGTCCCATCCATAAAAATCAAATGGTCTATAAAAAACAAATTAATTAATTAATAAAATGCCGTCGTCCTTTCATTTCATATGGGAGAGCAGAATATTTTTGTACAATATTCCATATTTGTTTATTTATTTATTTATCTATTCATAGCATCCTAGTGTGAAACCATCACAGGATTCCACACAATTCCGATCGACACCACGAGGGATTGAATGTGACTCTTGACCAGCATTTTGAAATGCAAAATTCAAATATTCCTAAAGAATTAAAAAAGAAAAATAAAGATCCAATCTATCAAAGGTCAACGCCCTATTAATAATATTAAACTGACAGATTTACACGTTTATATTTTCCCCCTAAAATTCTACACTCACAATCATAGGGAAAGAAATAAATTTCAAGATAATCATTATGAAAACAAATATCAGCTCCGTTATTTACCTGACATGTAACTCTATTCTTATGTGTTTAATATTTATTCCCAGAATTGAGTGTGAAACCTTAAGCTATAATTTAGATAGCACACCAGGAACAAATATCTAATTTGTTGGAAAGGGGAATTATTTTATGAAAAATTTAATAAAATATAGTGTCACGTCATTATTATTATTTGGGAAGAATAATTAAAGTTTAGCTGGATAACTTAGCCCACAAAAGGGGTTAGTTAGATAAGAATTTTTTCTTTAAAAATAAAGTTCCGTAAAGAATCCAGATTTCAAAGGCAGCCTAAGCCATATGCATGTTAGGATTAGGATGTCTAATATTCGTATAACATAACAATATTAACAAAAAAACTGTATAATAATAACAACAACCACAATCGTAATAGAATTCCATATTTTATTTGAAATATCATCTTAATCTGATTCCCATCATCCAAAGTTGTGGAAGAGAGCACAAACAAAAATTCCTCAAATTGAAAGGGAAAGGATATGCTGCCAATTCACTCACATTTCAAGATAGAATATGATATAATTATTATTAATTGCGAACATATACCAAGTTTGTGTGTTTGTGACAAAGATCACCAGTTGGAAAGCGATATTAACATCTATCTATTCATAGGAGAATCATAATAAGCTCTAAAAAAAATAATTACTAGAAAGTTCTAATATCAATCTAAACAGTTTATAATGATAAGTTTTAAGATTTATATTGCAATTTTTTTTAAGATCTTAATGTAGTTCTCCCATCTATTCACTGCCTAATAATTTTACAGACAGTTGAATTGAGCATCCTGAAACAATTATGGGATTGAAATTTCATATCAGCTGGGTGGGGGCACTCTTAATCTGGACCCATTCAAATATCACAACATGACTCGCAAAAAGTTGACGTCGCTGTTAGTAGAATGACATGCAGGGACAGGGTCCTTCAGATGATAGACATGAACTGTTTTAAAAATTATAAATGAGATGAAGCCGAGGCCTAACCCACCAACTGATCATAGAAAAAAGGGATAGAAACTGGCAGTTTGTTAGCTCGTTAATGTGTAGGCTATTCCAATATATTACTTTCTGTATTTGGTACAAAAGTTAGTTGACTAGTTTGAGCATATTCAAAAAAACTAATTAAGTTAATTATTTGTAATAAATAAGTATTGTCTTTTATAAAATATCATTACTCATTAAATATACTCGTTGAAACTATCATTATTACAAGGCCTATCTTTAAAAAAATAGATAAAAATAAGAGATAAAATAGATTGAAGTCTTATATTTAGAACCAATATAAAAATCAAACAAGTTCTTATATTAAAAATTAGAGATAGTATAACGTATAATTTATGGTCCATGTCTATAACGAGCTAATATGTATCAATGACTTTAAGTGTACTCATCATTGTCTACTAATAACACAGTATTTGTACTATTAGCTTATAGGTATTAGTATTTATACTTCAAATATCAATGAAGTTTGAGTCCTTTCATTTTATTGGTGGGTAGAAACGAGAAAGAAAGAAAAAAAGTGTTTTGGTTCAACATTTCACACTTGAGTATGAGAGGCAACTAAATTATTATCGGCCAGCCGGCCAGCCAGTTCAACACCACACGGACATTCTCTCACACGATGGTGAAAATCTGGCGAATTCCCAAAAATTTTGTGCCAACAACAAATCTTGATTTCGGGAGTGTTTGGATGAAACCAAACCATGGTTTGGAGAATAACTTCTGGAGAATAGATTTTGGGAAAATAGATTTTGTGAAGAATAGATTTTGTGAAAAAGTGATTTTGATAAAGTGAGAGTGTTTGGATAGTTGTTATTAGAATCACTTTTTATATGTGCAAATTACTAAAAAGGGTATAAGTTAATATGATAATTACATAAAAGAGAAATTTTATAATATATTTTAATTTGAAGAAATAAAATTGTTAATAATGTATTTTTACTAACATAATTAATAATATATAAGATAATATAATTAATAAACAATTAATATGTGTATATATATTTGATTTTCTCGGTCGAACAATCTAATCCAGGCGGAAAGGAAAAATGATAACATTTGCTAACAAAGCCATGAAAACTAAATGATATTACTTTTTTTTTTTTTGGGTCAAAGGGAAAACTAAATGATATTATATTTAGAAAATTGGTTCAGCTTCATTAGCGTTCCAGCAAGAAATGAAAGTCCCAGAGTCCAAGCAATGGCAGGATCAAAGGCGTCGACAGGTGAACAGGCGTGAAACAATTCTTGTGGGTATTTTTGTCAAATAAACGATTGGCAGCTTCTGACACTCCTAATAATCACTCATATGACTCATTTTCAAGCCCAGAAGCGAAAAATTCTCACTTTTCAATAAACCATGGTTTCACTAGTCAAAACCAAGGTTTTCTCTCAAACTAAGGTTTTGATAAAAATGAGGCTGTTTGGATATCACTTGGTCCAAACCATGGTTTTGACTCTCAAACCATGGTTTTGAGTGATATCCAAACAGGCCCTTCATCTATAATCAATCAGACCTTCATATTTAATCACTACTATTAGTTTTGGTTGTTCCTTATACCGCTTTAAAGCTAATCCAACTTTGGGGCGCAAACCCCAAAACAAAGAATAGCTAATTCAACTTTTACAACGCCTGACCCAAAAAAAAAAAGAAAAAACTTTTACAATGGCTTATTTTGTTTTTCGTATATTTTTTTGCCACAATGGCTTATATTTTGTTAGCACTGTAACCTGGTTATCATCAATTAAATTTACCACTTGTTTGTTAAGTTTAACCTTAGAGAAAAAAAGATTTTCAAATTATTTAGAAGAACAACGGTTAACTTCAACCCATACATTTTTTTTTT